CTTGAAAGAGAACATCCGGTTTGACTGTAAAAAGGTGGGTTTGCTCAGGGTCTAATCTTAGAGTTAACTTGACGCCAACCCGATCTACTGTTAATTGTACACTTTAAATTTGGCTTGAGTGTTGACCTCAATGACATGATAATACAGTATATACTTTAAGTTACAAATTAGTCTGGTGATTATATTAAAATTCCAATGTAGCTATGGTGCATGCACTATTGAACCTTAACTAATTAGGTTGAATACAATGTAAATGCATCCTAGGTACCTTGTCATTATTGCCTTGACAGTTATGGGTTTTAATATACATATTAACAAATTAACAGTACAATGTAGTTTTCAATTCACCATGCACTCATGCCTATGAGGTCAGCACTATGAGGGTTCCTCCATAATTAGGTAACCCTTACACCATATATCTACTGTATAGACAGAAATACCGGTAAACAATTAGGCAGTATGTGTGGGGTTGAATATCATTAAAACCAATTGCTTACCTAAAAATGGTATATTTGTTACACAATTAAGGCAGTGCTTACCATGGACTCAGCTATCAGTGTCACACAACTACCAGATGCACCACCACCAATAATGTGCAATCAGCAAGTAAGTTCCTTAATTAATTATAAATTATATTTTTGAAAAAATTATAATCATCTATCATAAGCAGGAGTAAAAGAATCTGGTATAAGACATGGCGGGAAGAATGCAGTTAGACATGTCTAACATTACATTGCAATGGTGATAGGCTGTTGTCTATACGGTACGTATATTTACTTTTGTCTTATACAACTCTAGCTGTTATATTTCACCTATAGGCATCCACTTCAAATGTCACAGCTATATCCCCTTCAGAAAATACAGAGATTTCACCAAAGAGATTCAAACCTGATTTTGTAAGTTAACTGATAACAAATTTATTTTTAACAAAAGTAATGCATCTGCCATGTGATTCCATACAGTTCGTATAGAACAAGTTCCTTTTAGAATACGTAGTGCACCTTCAATTCCAATTTAATTTCATAAATAACTAGTAATTAATATTATTGCATAATTTACATGTAGAACATAAGATCAATACTTGAAAAATCCATACCTGGAGAAAATATCCTGAAAGACTTGGGAAGTGGAAATCTTTCAAGAAACAACAGACTAAAAATGGTTCAAATTCTGGTAGCTGAGCTCATGACAATGTTTGGAGACAGGTTTGGCTATTATGCAGTATTCGGTGTACATAAGTTTGGATTTCTGGTGTTCCTGTTTACTCATGGCAGATTTTTGGCTCATCACTGGAAGACCATTGCATCATAATATACTTCTTGTTCTTTTTTTTATAACAGACCAAAATCGGATATAAAAATTGCAATGGCAAGGGCTGTCATTGAGGAGTTTCCTTTTCTGAAAGATGAAGAAGGCCAGGGATTTGTAAGTGTAATTGCTAGTAAGATCATGATTAAATGTCCTACATACATACATGTAGAACTGTTGACTTTGTACAAAACCATTGTATTAGGATTTTGGTGTGCATAATAATCACCTAATGTATGCGTAATAATCACACCATATAGGAAGCATGGTATACTCCTGGCAAAGGTTTGCATTCAGCCACAGGTTGGTTGGAAGAAAAACTAAGAAATATGAGACGAAGGATAAATCAAGAAAAAAATAAAACAAATATATCAAGTAGTAGTGCAACAGTATCCAAATCAAAGCTGGTACAATTTACCTCTTTACCAGGTAACGGCCATGTTATGAATATATTGTTGTATATAGACAAAATATCCATTCTGACTTCAACTTCATGTACTTATATAATAGTAAACTCAAATTAAATTTCTGTCATTAAAATTTACAGAAAGCAGCATAAGTGAAGAGGACTACGAGGGGATGGTGGAGTGGCTCAAGCACCATGTGGAGCCACTCACAAAAGTCAAAGAGTTTATGAGCAAAACGTCGGTAAAAAGAGCGTCGTGGATACGGGAACACTCTGATTTATCAGTGGATGCTATTCTGAAAGAACACCCAAGGCTAATTGATACACCGGGTATGGTAAGTACTTCACTGGCCCTGTGTGATAGCCTCCTATCTAAATTTCTTACCGTTACAAAATTGGCAAATAAGACATCCACCTTCTATAATTTCCTGAACTCATTATGCAGACAACTTTGATCGATCACAGTGTAAATGCTTTGAATCTTCGTTGAATATGAGAAATCGTTCATGTGTTTGTCTGTAGTGCTTCCATCTTGTAAAAATAAGTACGCGCTGCTTACATGTGGGTAGCCTGCATTGTTGCCAAAGCTGGAGTAATAACGAGGAACAGAATTGCTGCATGCAACTTGTAACAAAATTAAATGTCTCGTGATTTGTAATGTATGTGTAAACATTGCAATTAACATGCGCATAAATCAGTATGCATAAATTTTGTTTCAAGTTGTAGCAATTACTCCACCTTAATTGCTATTGTCAATTCTGAATTTACTGAAAGAAAGTTTAAGTAAATTAGACACAGTTGAAAGATTATAAACACATTTAATCACATACAAAACATCGGATGTGACAAAAATATATATATATATATATATATATATATATATATATATATATATATATATATATATATATATATATATATATATATATATATATATATATATATATATATACACGAAACAAAATACACGATATATCGACAATAACTCTGAAAAGTGAAAACCCTGCGCCGTTGGTACTGCCAGACTGTCAGTATGAAACCCCGCGATTTTTGCAACCGTACGTTTGCCTTTTAATGTGTTTTTCTATTTTTTTAGATTGAATTAGACTTCGCCTTGGTTTTACCTGAATCTGTATCAGATAACTTGTTCTTGAAGTGGACACCTTCCTTTGCCGATAAAGTTATTAAATATGCAGAAGACCAAGCCAAATGGCAAGTTTACCTGGGTATAAATATGGAACAAATTAACTCCGGTAAGTATATTCTTAGCACATGTCGTTATCATAGCTCACATGTTTAATTATTATGCATATAAGTTAGTTATATTAGGCTAATGTATTTATAAGCTGTATCAAAGTCAGACCGGATGTTCTCTTTCAAACAACATTGCAATATTGTCCCACAATATTGCAATTTTGATAGTCAGATTGCTCTAGCAATTTGCAACCGACGCAAACAAATTGCAAGTTGAACTTCACAACAGATTTGTAAACAAATCCTCTGATTGGACTATACCATAAGAAAGAGGGAAAGCCAATCAAATAGTTTGAGCAACTGGATTGGTGCTTTCCTCTTTCTTATAGTCTAATCAGGGGCTTTGTTTGCAAATATTTTGTGGATTTCAACTTGCCATTTGTTCTCGTCAGCTGCAAATTGCTAGAGCAAACTGACTATCAAAATTGCAATATTGTGGGACAATATTGCAATGTTGATTGAAAGAGAACATCCGGTTTGACTGTAAGTTACTAACTATATACAGTATATACAAGATGCTTGGTATTGTGCTTTTACTGAACTGTAGGTCGTTAGCTACATCGTTCTTTTTGCTTTTTGAGCCTCAATGGTCATGAAGAGAATAAAAATTATAATGCTGACGGATTATCTTGGGAGAGGGTTGGATGTACACCACCTGGCCCTTACAATTTTTGCAACCTTACAGCGGTAGTTGGCCAACCCAAAACAAAAAAGGTTTTGTGCCCTTCAAGCAGTTTTAAATAAATATATAATATTTTTTAAATAAGTATAATGTGTATTGGTTCCATTTTTTAGATGAAGCAAAGCAAAATGTAGCATTATCAATACTTCCATGCATTTTGCCTGCAGGAAGAAAATGCAAGAAAAGATGCAGCATTGACGATGCTCTTTCATCATTCATTGATGTTAAACCTGTAAGTATTTGAAGTTTATAGCAAAATGAACCCAACAATTTTTTCTAGTTAAAAATTTGTTTCCTTGCAATTTTTGGCAAAATCTTGGATCCCCCCACCCGGCCTCTCTTGTCTTACATACATGTGTCCCATTTAAGTTAGATGGTGAATCTGATTTATTTTTCTATTTAGATAGGTACAAATATACCAAAGTATTTGGAGGATAATCTTAAGCCACACATACTTGTTCTTGGAGAGCGACTGCACCCCCACCAAGTATTTCTTGTTTGTGAAGGGAAATGCTTGGAAAGGTCCAATCTAGTTGAAGCTGTAGACAGTTGTTTCAAGCTATTTTATGTCCTGGACATGGAATATCCGTGGCAGAGTAATGTTACATGGGAGTTTTTCCAGAAGGTTGTATACTGTTTGGAAGACAAGACTCCAAGAAAAACAACCTCAGCTGTGATATCGATGCGTGCTACCCTGAACTCATATGCATAGTGGACCTTTAGAAGTCTGCATGTACTTGATCAACTTTGTTAAGTATGTTATATAATATGATAACACTATATAGTTTTGTAACTTTCAAAAGGTTTAAAGATGTTTGCAGCTAAGGTGAAACTATATAATTTAATCCTATGTTATTTCTATGACAAAAGCCTGGTTCACATATGCCTGCGGCATGCCTGCGACTGTATCATTATGCCTCTACTTGCCGCCGAAATACCGGCAAAGTTGAACTCAACTCAACTTTTCCGGCCTACCGCCGATGTAACTGAGGCACTGGAGGCAATCGGCGAACAAATGTTCACATAATTTACGTTTTAAAGCTACCATCGGCATCGTCGCCGGTACGTCGCAGGCACGTCGCAGGCATATATGTGAACCAGGCTTAAGCAGTCAATTGCATGCATGGATATATGATAAATACATTTCTAGAACACCTCAAGTTTATTAAATGAACATTATTTGTTTGATTCACAAATATTATAGTTGATGTAAACCAGGAAATTGAAATAATGGCTTTAAACCAGCTTTTCCTGGTTATATTTAAAAGGCTGGACTAGGTTAACTATTAACCTAGCACTGGGTTAAAACTTACCAGGAAAGGGTAAAATTATTAACACCGACCCTGGTTATTGTTAACCAAGAAATGGAGTTGATCTTATTTAACCAGGATTTCCTGGTTAAGTTAACCAGACTATGCTAGGTTAAATATTAACCAGGCAAAGGGTTAAAATTTACCAGGAAAGGGTAAAATTATTAACACCAACCCTGGTTAATGTTAACCAGGAAATGGAGTTGATTTTATTTAACCAGGATTTCCTGGTTAAGTTAACCAGACTATGCTAGGTTAAATATTAACCAGGCAAAGGGTTAAAATTTAACCCTTTTGTGGTTAAATTTAACCAGAGTGTTTTTAGAGTATAGTAAATGGAATCTTTATGAAATATATAAATATTTAAAAAACTCATTAATAATTCATGAAGAAAACACAAAGAAAAATCATAAGCGTGTCGTATCTGTATATGTGATACAGATTCATGTTGATTTACATAAACTTTAACTGACACAACACGGCCGCTCATGTTGTAAACATTACATACAAGTCGAGGTGTTCCCCCAAGACGCTATACTTTAGATATAGTCGCCTGACCGCGCACTGGCAATAAATTTCGTTCATTAGCATTTTTTTGTGAAATGTTGCAAACCAGTATTCCAATATGTATGCTTAGTTAATCTCGACCACCCCCTTTCGCATCAGATTAAAACACATTTTTTCTAATATAAATATACGGCGGGCGAGTATTTACCCACCTTTTAATTAAAAGCCACCATTGAAATCCTCACAAAATAACCTTTCGAACGGGGGGTCAATAGCCGTCAGAACATTTCACAAACCGGAACAACTGATATATTTACTCACCGCTTGGCCAAAGATTTATTTATTAACTTTATAATCATACAAAAAATATAACAATGATTGAAAGTATGGTCAACAGGACATGAGTTTCATATGAAGACCAACCTAATACAATACAATACAATACAATACAATAAGTAGACATACATTATAGACAAGGACTACAGAACACTATTTACATAGCTATATAAAAATTAATAGTGTAGATTATGAGCAACAGCTTAAGTTTCTAGATTTCATACCCTCAAGATCTTGAATATATCTTGAACTTTTCATCATTTGCTGAACGGCTATATGAAAATCAAATCTCAGTTGTGTTATTAAGAATATATATAAAGCCGCAGGAAATTAAACCTTTTTTAAAAGCGAAAGCTGTCTATAAACTTTACAAATGTGGTATAAACACAGTACTAAATAGTGCTCATTGAAAGACATAAATATATTGTCGTTTGACTTATCTTTGATGTATGACTTTACTGTAAGGGAGCGGTCATAAAGTAAGTGCTATCCCGGGGCGGAGGATATTGGGATGGGGTAGGAAATTTTTTTCAGGGATCTGGATGGAGTATGAAATAAATTTATCACTTTAAAGAGGGGTATGAAACAAAATTTGTTTGTTTCAATACAAAAATTGTGTTAATACAGTTTAATATTACGGCTCCGTTCATGGTTCATACATCAGTGCCATCATTGTCTCATAAAAGATTTGACCGTTGCTCAAGTAGTCTCCCTTGCAGTTGCTGTTTTGATTTTATTCCTCTTCATGAACTTGTGTGGAGGAGTACATGATGACAAATATTATTCAAAGAATGGCTGAGAGAGACTATTGAGAGACTATTGTACCGTATATTTAATACACAGTGTAATCATTTTTAACCCTATTTGTACCGGGGTGCACACAATGAGCGCACCCAAATAAATATTTATCCGTCATTCCCGAACAAATGAACCATTTGCTTTTCTGAAAATTCAAAGCCGGTTATCCCATAGGCAGCCCAATGTTATGGTAGACTTGCTCCAAATCTCTCTTCAATTGTCATATAGTATCGATCCACTATGCTGTACATTACATGCGTCATGTAATGTACACTATAGTGGATCGATATGACAATGAAAGAGAGACTTGGAGCAAGTCTAATGTTATGGTTGCCTCACTTGCCCGCCGGCGCGCGACTATACAATGCCTACAACTATACAATGCCTCGCCCGTGCGCAGGCAGGCAACCATAACATTGGGCTGCCTATGGTTATCCGGACGTATCATATCGTAGAATATCCATAATATATTATATAAAATAGTAAAATATAGTATAATATACAATATAGTATATTATAAAATACTTATATAATATAAAATACGTATTTATAATATTTTTATATATACAAATACACATATTTCTTTGTACCTTCAAGGTTGAGCAAACACCGAACATTGCCATATTCATATTGCAGAATATGAAACCAATTTAGTATAAATACTGTGTTTTCTAAACTATATTGCAGGCTTGTAACCCACCTGTGTTACACTTCATGTAACACATAATATATTGGCCTGGTAAAAAAACATGGTCGCCATTTAGTATTTTTTCTACAAAATATTCTTGATCGACTTCATTGTTTCTTCGGTTTATACTAAAGAAGTTATGCCACCAAAAAGAGCTAGAGTTTCAGCAGAATGGGTAATAGGCCCTTTCAAGGTTTATTCCGCCATATTGCCGGGGGTGCAAAACATTGGGGCGAGCGCGCGGCCAAGCCACGGCTGCCATATATTTTACTAATGAGTGAGCGATAATTTTGTGTGGACATTTTGCTGATTTTCTCATGCTATATTAATTAAAACATAGTCCAAATTTTTGTATTCTGGCTGATCTGTGTGTATTTTCAAACTACTGGTAAAGATTTCAATGGAATCTGATTGGAAGAAATCCGTGAATACGCTGATTTTTTCGACACCTTTCGGCGAGCTGTTTACATTGGATTCACGACAACGAAACGCCGAAAACAGGGCTTTTACGTCTCTGTTAGTTTAAACAAAACAACATTACAAAAGAATCATGTTTAAAAACAAGACGACAGAGCTGTCGGGAAACAAGAAAGACGTCCAGGTGCGAGAGTGTAACCTGATACCAATGTCAATCTCACCTTTATATGACATAGATATAAGAGATGAACTTATAGAAGTAAGCGAATCCAAAGGGTATATATTGAGAGATATTGAGAGTTTTAGTTGTTTATAATTTATGTTCTCATAGGAGATTATATTGCAAATAATATTTTACTTTGGCAGTTTATGGCTACAAAGGACAAACTTGAATACCGCGAGGATTTCGTTGGGTTTACAGAGAGGGGAAAAGCATTTTTTTGATGAGTTGGGTGCTCCAAATAAATTTACACAGGAACAAATTTTTGATAGTATTAATTAAGAAGCAATACCAACAAAGGCTACAAACTAATGATATTATTAAGAGCGATCCTAACACTCTATGCGATGAATATTGGAAAGATGACATTCAAACTTGGCCACATCTTGATGATGGAATGCTACATTCTTAAAAGGCCTACAAGGCTTGAAACCGTTCTGACAAGGATTTATCTGGTCGTAAACGTGATATTTGGTGTTATTGAATATTAAAGCTACTCTACGTTGCTATACATTGCCCAAAATGTACTGCACTGAAAGAGTAAATATAACTCCATGGCCAGCTCTGCAGTAAAAATAGCGGGAAAATATTTACTCGATCTATATATTTATTTCAAGAGTGTTTTAATTCTCAATTATTCTCTGTAGGGGAAAAATAGCAAGTAATTTTACCACCTATTTTTCTTACGTCGTAAACTATCGACCAATTTCGCTGCTATCACTCATCTCTAAGGTTCTCGAACGTTCTCTTTCTCAGCGCGTGGTTTCGCATTACATTACGATTCAATTTTTTAAATGTAAATATCTCGGCGAGTATTTACCCCCCCCCCTTTAAAATAAAACCCACCATTGAAATCCTCATAAAATAACCTTTCGAACGGGGGGTCAAGTGCCGTCAAAACATTACATAAACCGAAACAATCATATATTTATACTTCACCGCTTGGCCAAACATTAAAACGGGAAAAGAGAAAAAGTTGAATATTTTCTAAACCTTTCGTCATTTTCGGAAAGGCTATATGAGTAAAATACTCTTTGTATTCAAGCGCATTCGTGTAGAAAGTTTCGTATGAATACGGCGAGTAGAAATATTTATTTTGAATTTTTCAAAGTATCGGGTTTTACTCGCACGCGCGTGTATTACGCAATACGTGGCCAATAAGGAGCTCCTTTAGCCGGGATGACGTCAAACTCACGCGTATACGTGCACTTTGACCTGTAGAATCCATTTCTGGCATTTACAGAGACACGCGATACAAACGTGGCATTGTTTTGACGATATTTAATCGTATTTCCGGTTGGGATTATCGCAAATTCAGGCCAGAAATGTAAAATTCGGCACTAAAAGTCATACTTTAAAATAACACTATACATGGTATTTTCAATGCTTAATTCATCAAGAATAGCAAAATGAACATACGTCTCAAGGGGCCGAAGATATGTTCGGCGAAAGGTATGTTTATGTTTTTTGTATCTGCGAAGCAGATATATATGCTATCGCAAACGTGCCGTACCGTACCGTACCGTATGTTAGCACGTAGCCATTCAGCGACGGGCTTATATAATTTAAGACAATTTAAGCCAATCAGCGATTCGTTTACATCAATTGTTTACATCGTGCCCGCATCTAACCTGCGAACGGGCGGCGTTTGGCCTCGTGTTATTCTTTGCCATTTTCACATTTGGGCTTCGAAAATATCTTGATTTTGTCTTGTTTGCGCTATTTTCCGAAGTTACTATCGACATGGAAACTTATCCTCATCTGGTAAGTAGTCAAATACGACATATTTATTATCTTATTATGTATTTATACAGTAAAACAATCATTTTGTTGTGTAATATTTTAAACAGTCAAAACATAGCAGGCAATATATTTGTCAATGACAATGAACAATGTCACAAGAAACTAATG